GAGACACAGAGGGTGCCCAACTCCTGCTAAGGACACCAATGATATGGGTGCTGAATGAGGTAGAGAGGCAAGAATCAGATGTTCTATTCTAGAATATTCTTCCCTGTCCCATATGCCTTATCTCCTCTTAACTATACCTTAACTGGCTTCATGCCTTTCATAGAGGCTGCTCCTAACACCAGATCCTGCCCACCCTTTTGTTAGCCCAGTGGCACAAATGGTTAAGCACTCAGCTGCTCATTGAAAGGTTGGTAGCTTGAACTCATATAGTGATTCAATGAGAGAGACCTGGTGACCTGTTCCTATAAAATTTATAGCTTAGACAAACCAATGAGAGCAATTGTACTGTGTCACATGAGGTGGCTATGAGTCAAAATTGACTCAATGGCACCAAACAGCAATATGCCAGCCTGCAAAGGAAGCACCCCTCAGTCTTGGGTGCCACACCTGAACACGTAGGTGGTTCCTGGATGTCGCTGAGCACTACAGCACTTGCACTGGACAGTTTGCCACCCCCAGTGGTCATTGATTGTATTGAATCAGAAGAGAAGAGACTACTCCAACCTCCACAGGTATATTTGTTCTGGGTGTGGGGAGGAGAATGCAGAGGACCTAAGAACTTTTAAGTCATCCTGTCCTGTGGGCATCTTTATATAGTGAGATGAAAGTAATTATTTGATCAGTTATTATGAGAGTTTCTCTTAGGGTGGTAACTGCCTTTGTTTAGGAAACATCTTGCTGGAAAGAGATAGTGAAAGGAGATCTCTCAAAAGAGAGATTCAAGGGACTATTTGGAGTGAGGAATGTAGAGGGTGGAGGAACAAGAGACAAGAGAATGAAGAGGGGGAGGTAACCAGGGATGGGACTAGTGTGAGGCAAGAGAGGTGTTGTTGTTAAGTGCCAAAGAGTTGGTTCTGACTCATAGTGACCCTGTATAGGGTTTCCAAGAAATGCCCAGTGGGTTTGAACCACTGACCTTGCACAGTTATGAATCCAGTGCTTATCCTACAGTGCCACACCAGGCTCCAAAAGGGTGTGGTGGTGGTGGTTTTGTTCCATCGCGTCAGTTCCTACTCATAGTGACCCCGTATAGGGCTTCTGAAGACTGTAAATCTTTAAGGAACAAGAAACCCTCATCTTCTTCCTGCAGAGTGGCTGGTGGATTTGAACTGCTGACTTTGCAGTTAGCAAGCCCAATATGTAACCCATTATGCCACCAGAGCTCCTTCAAGAGAGATAGGTGTACAGGGTGCAAAATTTAAGAAAGCAATAATTTTCAAGTTCATGGAAATGTAGGATCAGCACCTGAGAGTAATTGCCTCATTAAAATGTATGCTCTGCATGTTTCACTTGTCTCATCCTTATCCCAACCCTGGAATTGAGCATAACCATTAGGAGACTGTCCACCTCCAAAGAAATATATCCAGGGAGCAACTCTTGGTGGCAAGTGAACAAAGGACTTTAAAGAACAAGAGTTTTTCTTACTTGACTTCAAATGTATTTTTTAACATTTGTTTTAAATACTTGCTTGGTTTGTAATGATGAAGTTGAAGCTTTAGCTTCTAGAAAAAGAAATTATTTCTCAACTACATTTTTGGTAGCAAGAATGGGGAGCAAATGAGAAGCAACCACAAGTACCATGAACAAAACAAGGAGCCTGTCCTTTAGGAATGACACTAGAGGAAACTTTGCCATAACTGTGATAACTTTACTTCTTTGCCATAAAAGGGGAAGAGAAAAATACAGATTTTTGAAATTGGACTTCTAATATATTTGGTGATTCACTCTTTCCTTCTGTTATCCTAAATCTTCAGAAAATCAGCTTATACACAAAGGCCTTTTGTCAGTGCAGTGCAGTGAATTGCTTCATATGGCTTTCCTACCCATAGACTTTATAACTCACACCAAACAACCTTTTTTTTTGCTTAATGGGTCTGGGTAAGAGAAGGTGGGAGACAATGCTGATGGGATGATAGATTTGATTGTGAATGATTGTTAACAGGGCTAATTATGATCGCAAAACCTTGAAACTCTAACATGGGTATAAAATGAACTATCTCAGAAACAGGAATTGGGGATCTCACTACCAGCAAGAAAGAAGAACCAGAAGTGAAATGTGTCCTTTGAGCCCTGAGATCCCTGCACATTGAACCCCCTTAAGCCAGAGGACAGAGCTGTGACACAAGAGAAATGCCAGAAGAGTGGCAGCAGCAGAGCCAGAACACAAGACAGAGTGGCAGGCTTTCCATTTATGAAGTGAGTAAAGCTGAGTGCCTTTGGCTGGAGGCTCACTAGTGGAGCGGGGTTCCTCTAGACACTTAATTGGTGGAGTTAGGTTTGCTGACCCATGGAGCTAGAGCCTAGTACCCTAACAAGATTGAGGCTTAAAGTGGTGTCAAGTGTCCTATGGGCATGTAAAAGCAGTGTTCATAGAGTTTTGTAAGACTGCTGGAACAGGGCCAAGGGCAAGGGACCTGTGATTGAAAGGCCAAGGACCAGAAAGAGGTCTGCCTGAAGGCATCAATGGGAAAAGTCTGTCCTGACTGGAAGAACTATGCCCTGAGCCTTTTAAATCCTGAATTGTAACCTGCTAACTTCCCTAATAAACTATATAACTGTGCGCATAGAATCTGAGTTCTGTGTGGTCATTGAAATGGATTATTGTACCCAACTGAATAGAGAGTGCTATGGGAGGGATGGTTGGTATCAGATTTAGTAGAACAGGTAGAAAGCTGGAGGCATAACTGACTCAGCCCCATAGAAATTGGCTTTGGGCTGATAGTTTGATTCTCCTCCTCCACACTTGGAAAGTCAGAAGAGACCAGATGCCATCCCATGCTTTCTCTCTCTCTCTTTTTTTTAATAGAAAGGCTTGGGGATTAACCAAGGAAATGATGTTATATTGTGTGTCTGGGTTGGCATGGAGAAGGGAGAAGAGAAAAATACATCCACCTAAACAAGATTTATAGATGCTTGGGGGCCCAGCAGGACCAGGTTGTTGGAACCAGATATAATACTGGGGATCCCAGAAAACCTATGAAAGGATGGGGCTTTCCAAGGGGAATATATCAATCTGATTGTACTTTTTATAAATAAACTATATATTTTGTAGTAAATTTAGATTTATAGAAAAATTACAAAGATAGTAAAAAAGTTCCTATATACCCTTCACCTAGTCTTTCCTAATGTCAATATGTTGCAAACAGTTGTCAAAATGAAAAAAAGTGCACATTGCAGGGATTAAAAATTTTATTTTGAACTCCCTGTATGACGCTATAGCATCAGCACAGGACTGCAAACTACAAAGTTGGCAGTTCAAACCCACCAGCTATGAGTCCGAACTGACTCGACGGTACTTCACAACAGCAGCAGTTTTATTTCACCAGTTTTCCCACAAAGTACACTGAATTTAGAACCAGTTGTATTGAAATCTGACATGGAGGTTTCCTTTCTGACAACTAGAGATAGCTCAGGAGCACTAGGTTCAGCCCATCTCTTTCCTGGGACTGTGGTAGTTCAGAAGACGTGTCTGTTGGTGGATGTGTGGATATGCACTGGACTTGCCCACCCCAACCTGCAACCTTGGAGCCCTATGCACTGCTTGCTCAATGTGCATGCTGTCTGTGGTACGGATTCTAGATATGCTAAATTGAGAGCTTGCCCTGTATTGGCTTAGATGCCCTGCAGAGGGTCTGTTAACTGCTGCTGTCAGGTCTCTGGGATTTACACTAGTTCTTCCTTTCCTTGGAGCTGAGGTTCAGATGTGGGACTGGGGAAAAGGATGCTTAGCAGTGACTCCTGTCTCAGGCAGAGGAGTTTAGTCTGTAAGCAGCTGGGGACCCTGAAGGAGTCTCCGGGGCCAGGAAAAACAGCAGATGGGCCATCCCAGACCTTCCTTCCCTCCTCCCATCATCTTCCTCATTCTCTTTTGTTCTCTCTCTTTTAAAATAAAATTGTTCAGAGCCATACACACATGCACAAAAACAGTGGCATACTTGGTGTAGTAAATGAAAAGCAAAAAAAAGTTGGGCAGAATGGGGTGATTTTATACAGAAGAGCTGTCAGCATCTGTTCACTCTGTCCTTGGGTTAATTGGAATCCCTTCCATATCCTTCTTTTACCATGAACTTTGTACCAAGAGGTCAGACACAATGCATGTGTCCTTTTTTTCCAACACCAAACCCAGGAGATAATTTTAGTAAATGTTTAAAGTAGCCATTTTCTAGCATTGATGGAGCTCCTACACTGTGTCAGGCATTGAGCTTTATATGTACCATCTCCCCAAGTACCCATAACTACACTCCGAGGTTGTTGTTGTTAAGTGACATTGAGTTGGTTCTGACCCATGGCGACCCTGTACAGGGTTTCCGAGGCTGTAAATCTTTACAGGAGCAGAAAGCCTCATCTTTCTCCTGTGGAGCGGCTGGTAGTTTGGAACTGCTGACCTTAAGGTTTGAAGCCATATTTGTAACCACTGTGATACCAGAGTGACACTCTGAAGTAGGGGATGCTATTGCTCCATGTTTGAGATAAGAATAATGGGTCTCAAAAACGGAGTGCCTTGTCCAGGTGATACAACTGTGAGATAGTTATAGAGTGACAGAGCCATGATTTGAGCCTTGGAAACACTGGGAACTGGGAATCTGGAATAATTGTAACCTTCCCTTTCCTAAATATGAGCAACCTCTGGCAGTTTCAGGTCAGCAGGTTCAGAAACTTTTATAATTGACATTGTCACAGAATCTAATTAAAACACTTAGAACACCTGAAATTGCACTCTACCAGATGGCTTCCAGAACCTAGGACACACTATGCTGGCCTCCAGGTGTGGACCAAGCCTTGACATCCACTCACCTCCTGCCCAAATGCACCCCTCATCCTCTGGTGAGATCCCTAAAAGGCCCCCAAGTATTCACAGTTAGGTGATGAACAGTATATGAATTTTAGTTCCCTCTGAGGAGACTGATTCTGGTGTTTGAGAGCCAAGGCACTTCCCTTACCAGATTTCCCGGAGCTGCTCTTGGCGTAGTTGCCTGGGTCTGTGCCTGGGACTATACTGAGGCGTTTTGCCTTTTTCTGCATTCCATAGTGTTTCCGGTACATGACAGAGTCTCCATCTTTCTTGGGGCTTTGTTGGACCTTGGATGGGAATAGGAGAGAAGTTATGCCTGGGGAGGAGGATCTGTCTTACCCCTAACCAACCAGTTGCCAGGGAGATGACACAGACTCATGACCACCCTATGTATATTGCCAGATCTTTCTTTTGAAGCACCTCTGGGTGGACTTGAACTCCAACCATTCAGTTAGCAGATGAGTGTGTTAACCATCAGCACCACCCAGGGTATCCTCCCCAACTTAGACTGAGTTATTTCAAGGGTTTGCTGCAAGGATAGGCAAAGGAGAGACTTGCTCCAGGAGGGATGGAAGTGCATAGGGACTACATGCCTGGTGCTTGCTTACTAACTCTTCATTTTGCCCCACCACATCTCAGAGGGCACTCCAGAGGTCATGGGAACACATAGTCCCCAGAATCAGATAGATCCAGGGTTAGCCCTTTTAGCTGTATAACAGATGAGCAGCTCATTGGCATTGGTTTTCTCATCTGTCAATGGCATTCCGGAGTGCGAGAGAGGCAAGAAGATAAGACAGAGCACCTGTGGTGACAGAAACCACCCCAGGGATGCTGTCCTCACTGGGGTGGGGAATTTGTTGAGAACTAGGGAGGATGTGATTCATTTGAGTGTCAGTTTGGGGCAGGAGACCTTTCAATAAGAATGTAAGGACTATACAAAACAGAGTGAACCCTAATTGTTGCAGACCGTGTAAGACTAGTCAGAGGTTCGAGGCCCTCTAGGGCTGAGTGTAACAAATGAGGCCACTGG